TCTTTCTACGTGGACTACGACGTGACACTTTAACTGGAGTCTCGATGGCGAGGCGTAACAATAGTCCTCCAAGTGTAAGTAATACATGGACTTGTATGAAAATTTTTATTGGGGGTGGTTTTTATACACCACACCTCCCCCAGTCTTTTGTCAAGGTGTCGTAGTAGCTTTTACCCGAACATCAATTTTTGACATGAGACAGGAATAGAATTGAATAAGGTCCAACCTTATCGTATCATGGGCTTACAATTCTCTCAGACGACTTGATCCTATTTGGTGAGGCTTGGCTGCCAGCGATATTCGGGACATATAATGGCACTTTGATTAATGTAGGCCGCCTTCACCATGCGTTTTTACTGTTTTTTATTTTTCCACAAAGTAAGTTATATATATCTGTCTATTAAATCGGTCTCGTTCACGCCAATTTAGGGCTGAATCAAGCCTCCAATTTGGTCGTCGGTGTTGATCTAAGTCTAACTTGCCCATTTTAACATGATCGACAATTTCTATGTATGGTTCATCCCTCAAAAGCTTCACGATAAGTGACTAACAACTCCATCCTTCGAGGTGGAGGAAATGGTTCTACCAAACTCTATTAGACAACTTCTTAGATTATTGACATTAGTGGCCTATCTCAAAATGGAATGGGGTCCTAGTATACTGGGAGTATCAAAATTGTCCATTTGAAGTCCTGATATGCCATCAAACATTGTCAAATGGGGAGAATGGTTTTTGTTTCTTTCTTTCTTTCTTTCTCTTTGTTTTTTTCCTTTTTTCTGTCTCTTAGTTTCTACCAATTTTTTAAATTCACATTAAAGTTAAATTGACAAGTAAATTCCTTTGAAAACAAAATGCCAGCTAGGTTTATGAAACAATTGACTTATAAGTGCACATTACAATCATACATAAGTCACACTTTAATGGGGAATCTCCATGCATCCCTTTTTCTTTCTGCATTCGTCATATGACACAAAATAAAATAAACCTTCAAGCAGTTATTTCACATAACAAAATACTTAAAAAACTATTAGCACAATCTCCCCTTCCATGTGGCTAAGATTTAGCAGAACTTGAACTCGAACTCGGGCTTGAAGGGTAACCAATACCGTGGCGGGTGTTCGGAAACATCACGAATATTGAGCCAGAAACCGCCCCGATAACCGGTGGCAACGCCATGAGCAGAGCCTTCTGTGTGGACTCGGAAGATGGATGGAAACACTCCACTGTATTAGGGTCTAACAAAGCCACAACAGAGAAAACAATAAGTGAAAAGAAAGCATGGACAAAGTCCCCAAATCTAAGCCTATAAGAAGACAAGTCCTGTGAGGATGAATTAGGCCAAAGGCCCTTATTTGTTGCAATGCCATAATGACTGATTCCTTCACTATCTTCGTAGCTATCGGTAAATGAGGCAAAACAACATGAAAAAGCAGAAACGATGACAAGAATCCCGGATAAGTACTTATTTATGGTGTGGCATTTGCCATTGTTGGTTAAGAGAGGATTAAGGAATTGAAACATGAAGACTGTGCCTGTTGGGAGGAGTCTAATGAGGTTGCCAATGCCTGTCAATGTTTTCTGTGAAATGGTTTGGTTAGAATTAGACATTCCCTTTTTGTATGTATACAAAATATATGGATTTTGTGTTTGTGCTGTGGATTGCTGCAAGATGTTTACGGGGATTTATAGGGGGTGGAGGGGTGGGGGTTGCTTCTACGTAAAATGGGATGATTATAGACAAGTAGTAGGAAATTTTATATATTTGCTTCTACTCTTAGGATGGTGGCTTTTCCAACCTTAAAGATTGGAAATGTTGTTAAGGTGTGATGTTAATTTTGTTGTAAAACAAATAAGATAACAGAATAGCTCTGATACCAATTGTAGTGAAACAAACCATCGGATTGAGATGTTGAAGTTATATGAAAAATAATAATGAAGTATATGATCAAGTAAAAGAATAATAAAAACAAGAATATGACAGAGGAATTAAGATATTTTATTAACTCAAGAATATGACACAAAAATTGTCAACTTATGAGTTAGGGATAATTTCTCTTTAGATAGAATCCATAAAGCTCATAAAACCTTTCAGTTTATCCTTCAAATAAAAATTCGTCAATTACATTCTCCGAAGTTTCAATTTGTATTTCGTTAGGATGGAACCTATCAACTATTTTTATTTTTTTATTTGTCACACTTGTTTAGATGAATATCTCGATAGAATTGATGATTTTAATTGATGAAATTGTAGCCAACTTATGGCCATTTGGACGAAAATCGTCCAAAAGTCATTCGGGCACACATTTATTAAAACATTTGGGATATTGATGCTAAAATTAGAAGGTTCGAGACGCTTATTTAGCTTCGAAAGGTTTGAGATCTTTGTTTCAAATTTTCCTTGTTCAGTTTTGAAACGGTTTTATTAGAAGTTATTATCTTTCTTGTTAAACTCTCCTAGAAGTAGAGGTCGTGACAAATCCAACTCGACAACAAAAAATCGATTCATAAAATCAATTCAATAGTAATTTAGTGACTAAAGTGCTCGGCGTTCCATGAATCATGCAATTGTAGATGTGGCGATGAAGTGAATTGAATCAAGATCTTCTATAATATTCATTCCCAAACGATGACGATGAACAACATAACAACTATATACCATTTCATCCATAGCGTTCGACAATTAAAACTAAACCACATTTAATATTACCAAACTCATTTGACAAAGTACTATGTTCTACTTAACCACACGAAATATACAATCCAAATGTCTGTTTATTCAAGAAATTAATTATTAAGCATCCGAATTAATTAGGGTTTTCAGGGTCAAATGTTATGACCTCAC